CAGAAACAAAGATCTGAGTATCACATGTTCTCACTCATAAGTGGACCTTGAACAACTATCGTAATACTATAAGAAAAGGATTGACAGTGGCAGGAAACTATGGGGGAGCAGGGAGGGGAAGGGAGGTGGGATTAACGGTAGTCAATATCTGTCTGGGGACAGGGGGGCACACCTCATCAACAAGGGTACCTGCACAATGCATATTTGTATACCTAACCCTTAACTGTACCCTACAATTTTAAAATAAAAAACATTAAAAAAATAAAATATAATAAAAACAAATAAGGACTATATTTTTAATGTGGAAAAAAAAAAGAAAGAAATGAAGAGTAATAGAAAGAACAAGTATGAGTAAACAGGAAAAACATATTGACTGGACAAAACAAGAAAAATATGTGTTGATATTTAAATATATACAGAAAATGAATCATATGTAAATGCATCACAATAAATAGAGTTAATGGGGATTAACAGAGTTCAGGTCAGCCTCCTTGGTCTTCATTGTCTTTACTGAGACATAAGAGGGATATAACTGATGGTTGCATGTTGCAGGTTTGATCAACAAATAAGATAAATATAAAGTCTGATTCTTGGCTCCCAATATCCCTGTTGTGAAAAAACTATTTTCTAAGCCTTGAAAAGTCTCATGAAATGTATGAAGTGAAACTTAGGACCAACCAAACAACTATTATATTAATCACCGAAAGACAACTTACTAGTAGGAGAAATTATAGCTAGTTTACACCCATGCTTATAACCAGGATCCACTCCCATCAAGGTGCGCCCTGGAACAGGGCTTGTTAAAAGGAGCTGGCGAAGGTTCCGTCCAAACATCATGACCGACTCCTTCTCTGCATCTGATGTTAGTTTGGCTCTTTAGAAAAAGACAAAAAAGAAAAAGTACTTAGTTTTTCATTCAGTCAAATTTTCTTTCCATTAAAGGAGAAAAATTCATTTTGAATAGCTATTCCTCAAAGGAACACTTTTTATAACAAAATAACTTAAGAGAACAAACATATACAAAAATTAAGTCTATTTTCACTACTCATGTTAGTGAAACAATTTTGAAGCAAGTCCTGTAAGTTTGTCATACTTACATTCCCTTTCTATCTTCTCTCCATTGTATACAAAATCCATATGTATAAACACGTGTGGGTGAGAAAGAGTACATATAGATTCAGGTGTCATATGGGATGTCAAATTAAAATTTATCAAACGATTAAAAATATAAACACAAAATGAGAGTGATATTATCAAATAAAAAGCAGCCTTCTCCAATAATATTTAGATTACACCTCCACCTATAAATATCTCAGTGTCATCTTCTCACTCTATTCCATCCTCTACCTCTACCCCTTTGTCATTATCACAGTGATATGACATGACCACAAATACTAGTAGGCAGTCCCGAATCATGCCTCATGTGAATAACTTCCCAGTTTTATCCAGAGAAATTATTTAAAGTCTAATTTTAAGACTTTCTAGGATAAAAATAAATATCTATAATGGGCTAAAAGGCATAGGAAACTAAGTTTTATACCATTCATCTCTTAACAGAAGTTCTCAACATATTATCTCCTGAAATTCATAAGAATGTATCAGAAAGTGGCCAAATGTGGTGACTCATGACTGTAATTTCAATACTTTGTGTGTTGTTTTTTTTGAGTCGAAGTCTCTCATTCCGTCCCCTGGGCTGGAGTGCAGTGGCACGCTCACAGCCACCCCAGCATCGACCTGCTGGGCTCCAGCGATCCTTTTGCCTCAGCCTTCCAAGTAGCCAAAACTACAGGTACGCGATACCGCATCCGGCTAATTTATTTATTTATTGTAGAGACGAGATCTTGCCAAGTTGCCCAGGCTGGTCTCAAACCCGTGGGCTCAGGCAATCCACTCGCCTTGGCCTCCCAAAGTGCAAGGATTACAGGCTGAGCCACTGAGCCCAGCCAATCTCATTACTTTGGGAGCCAATATAGGAAGATCACTTGAGCTTGAGTTTAAGACCAGCTTATAGTGAGACCCTGCCTCTACAAAAAATAGAAAAAAAAAATTAGCAAAATGTGGTGGGGCATTCCTAGTCCTAATTACTTGGGAGGTGAGGTAGGAGGATAACGTGAGCCTCCAGGATTTGAAGGTTACAGTGAGCTATGACTGTGCCACTGCACTCCAGCCTAAGAAACAGAGAGAGAGCCTGTTTCCTAAAAAAAAAACAACAACAACAAACAAGCCGGGCTTGGTGGCTCAGCCTGTAATCCCACGCCTTTGGGAGGCTGAGGTGAGTGGATTGCCTGAGCCCACGGGTTCGAGACCCACCTGGGCAGTGAGACCTCATCTCTACAATAAATCAAAAAATCAGCCGGGCATGGTAGCGCATGCCGGTAATTCCGGCTACTCGGAAGGCTGAGGTGGAAGGATCGCCGGAGTCCAGCAGGTTGAGGCTGTGGTGGCTGGGAGCGGCCACTGCACTCCAGTCTGGGTGACAGAGTAAGACTCCAAATCAAAAAAAAAAAAACATTATAAAAGCTATGCCTTCATTATTAGAACAGATTTTTTTAAATGCATGCTGTTGGACAGAAGAAATCATAAAATGAGAATTTTAAATGACAATGTGGAATATGTGTTGGAAAAGATAAGGCAGAAGACCAAGATCATGTGTGACCCAAGTTCAGTAATCCAGGTACAAAATGATGATGTCCTGAATTAAGACAGTAACCATGGAAATAAAAGACAGGAAGAATTCAAGATGTGATAAAAGATGGCAACACAGATAGCACTTGGTAACTGACAATGTAGGCTGATGACAGAAGTAGGTGTGAAAAATGACACATGGATGAAGGATCATGACAGTCACGGGAATAAGAAAGGCAGAAATAGGCTATGCATAGTATGTAGTCTAATGAAATGTCTGCAAAATAATATAGTCTATATGATCTCTTTTAACTCACACATATGAGTAGAGAAGTCTGGTTAAAAATGCTTATCTCTAGGTAATAAAATTATGTGGGAATTTTTTTCCTTTGTGCTTTACTAATTTTTTCATTTTTTCCTACATTTAGGACAAATTTATTTTTAATTAAAAAAATAAACTATTTTCATTTAAAAATAAAAGCAAACCAAACCAACTTGGAGTTTCTTCTCCCTCAACTGCTATTCAGGTAAGTATTTCTATCATGAGACACATCTGTAGACAATATCTGCAAACTAAGTTATAAACTGAAATAAGTTAGATTTTTTATTTTTTTGAGTTGGAGTCTCACTCTGTCGCCCACACTGGAGTGCAGGGGCATGCTCCCAGCCACCGCAGCCTCGACCTGCTGGATTCCAGCGATCCTTCCACCTCAGCCTTCCAAGGAGCTGAAACTACAGGTTCGCGCTACCATGTCCAGCTAATTTTTTGATTTATTGTAGAGACAAGGTCTCGACAAGTTTCCCAGGCGGTCTCAAACCAGTGGGTTCAGGCAATCCATTCGCCTCAGCCTCCCAAAGTGCTGGGATTACAGGCTGAGCCACCGAGCCTGGCCAGTTATATTTTTTAAACAGACATTTGTGAAAAAGAGAAGAAAAGTATTCTTGCTTGCCCGCTGTTAATGGAATTCAGAAAAGGTTTATTAAACACTCCCAACACTAAACTGTTTACATTAAATCTCAATGAAATTATCCCATATGCATTGA